TGGGGGTCTCTCTCTCTCTCCCGATTATCGTACAAAAACGGTAGCAATCGTACATCTAGTAACACTGTCAAAACACCTTGACAAGACATTTGACCATAAACGTCATTGTGCTTAAAGCACAGAAGTTCCATTCATCCACTTTTTATGTTTTATTAATATATACACACATCGCCAATTTACTTAATACTAGGCACCAAGTAGCCAATCGCGAAGCTATCCGCTTTAGTCACAATTTGAAGCCGTCAAATCGCCACTTTGGCGAAAAATCGCCTCGCCTGGCAACCCTGGTCCGGACCAATTTAAATCGGTACGCAATGTTGCCAGATATTGAGTGATTCCAACCCCGCCATTTTTCCATGGCTGTTTCATAGTACCGATGGCTGATAAATAATTTAAATATAGTAGGTATGACAGTTAGTTTTTTGTTCTATATGAAACATTTTATATTATATAAACAGTCTAAACCAAAAGGTTACGACTTCATTGTTCGTGTAAATCTCTACGAACATACTGTATCGCATGATTCACAGGACCGATAAACAAACGGAGCATACGATTTTGTATTTTCGTTCCATAGGACTGGCTCGGTATCGTCTCGTCGTTATTTGAGCGGTTTGCAGGACCTTGTCTTTTGTCTGGCAGAAAGATGTTTTCTTTTTTTTAAATCTTCCTGAGCCCAGCCAGGGGAGATTTTTTATTAAGTAGAAGGTATATGAAGACGAAAGAAAGGAAGAAAAGGAGAAAGGGGAGAAAAAAGGGCAATAGAATAAATTGATAAGAAAGAAATTTAGTTAATTTGTATTCCGAGAGGTGCTTATTTTGGTTAGAGTATTGCCAGAAGATTTATAATTTAGAGAGCGAGACGGGGTCTTTTATGTTTAGATACTTGAGCTGGAGTATAGTCCACTGCGGCACGCAACAAAGAATTACTACGGGAGCTTGCGCTTTCATAACGCTTCCTAGCCAGTAGGCACGGTATTACGTATCTTGAAAAGTGACATTTTGTCGTTTTTTACATTTATAGGTTTTTTGTGACATAACGTAGGTTTTTCTACTAGATGTCTACTTCTTAGCATTGGTGCATAGTGAGGATTTATGTACTAATAAACTGTGTTGATGATAATGGCATTAGTTTCTTGTTTCAAATACACTTACTTGAGATGTAATCAAAGCTAGAAATTAGTTGCGCATCCAATTTTCCTTGTTTATTCTGGAAACTACATACCTATGCAAATTTGCTGCTTTTTTAAATGAGAAAATCACTGGTTGGTGATCTAATTATCTTTATGTGGAATCTTATATTTTATGCTTACATACTGCCACATATTCCAATTATGTATATTCACTGTACACTGTCGAAATACAAGTCTTATACATGCTAACAATAATTACACACACACGCGGTGGTGATTTCCCGTAATTCTCCTCAAAGTTTTTGAAAACCCAAAAAAAAAACGGGAAAAGTCGTAATTTATATATTTGAACGCAACCCGTCGAGCTAATAGATATACTCTTCATTCTCAGCGTATTCAGTAATAATTTTCTCACATAACAAATATCACTGATTTCATACACATGCAGACTAACTCACATAATCATCCAGATGCGATCTTGCTACTCAACCAACTTTCTTTCTTTTACATCTTTTCGGAGATAAACACTAATTGGCTTTCTGCAACCAACAATGCACGCTTGACCTTGTCGTGTCGTTGAGTAATTCCTCCATAGATGGACGCTTTTCATGACGCTCACAGCGATCATAGCGAGCAAACGTGGAATGAACTATTTACACACTAAAAGCTACGTAGTCTGCAAGATGACATTCTGTCGTTTTTAGGTTTTTTACATAATACCCCTGCCGATTGGACTGAGAGGTCGGATTCGGTCCGAGCAGATGCACCACGAGATTCGTTCAATCGGAACGGGTCAGTTCGAAGCGACACAACTCTAATGAGGTTATATGTAACGAGGCCATACGTCCTGCTTTGATCGGAACTGTTGATTTTGCAAACAGACCAAACGATAATTTAAAAATTTCACTCATTTCCAACTTTGCGGCAATGAAAAAATCGCTGGCTGAAATGCCGAGGATGTTTCTAATGAAAACCGTGGGTCGAGTTATTCCAGCACTTCGGTAGCCAAAATCTTCATTTAACAAACTTTTCCACAGTTATAGAGTACGTTTTGTGCCTACTTGGAAGTAACGAACCTGTCGAAAGAGGTTTTTTCTCTCAAATGAACAAAACATGGACAAGTGATAAAACACAGTTAAGTGTCGCCGTAGTGTTTTGATTACGAAGATAAATATAAATAAATCATGTACTGAGTTCCACAGTTATCTAAAAACAAGACCCGATATTTTGGAACAAATTTGTTCAGCAGACAAATACAAAAATACGACTTCACTACTGGGGCTTAATAAGTCGTGCCTTCTTAACTATTTTGTGTTTAATGCTTTGTTTATTTTGTGTTACTCTATCTTCTATGAACTTGTGAAAAACTAAACACTTTTTTTTATTATATAATGCCGCAGATGTCCCGCACGGATATCATGTAAAAAACCTATAAAACGTCAAAAAAACCTATAAGATGTCAACTTGCAGACTAGGTAGTTTTTAGGGTGCAAACAGTCATTCCACGTTTGCTCACTAGTATCGTTGTGAACGTCCATCTATGGAGGAATTACCCAACTAAACTACGTATTATTGGTTGCATAGTTTTGTGAGGCTGAGTGATCCGGGTCTGTAGTTTTAATCTCTGAGAAGAAAGTTGGTTCAATAGCAAGATCGCATCTGGATGATTGGTCAGCATGTGTATAAAATCAGTGATATTTGCTGTGTGAGAAAATCATTTCTAAATATGCCGAATATGACGGGTTATTTATATGTTGTGCTTTCTGAAGAGAGGTTATGTTCAAAGTTATAAAATACGAAAAACTGAGCAGAATTACGGGAAATCATCACCGCGCCCGCGTTATGTGTAATTACTGTTAGCATGTATATGGCTTCTAATTCGACAGTGTACAGTGATTATAATTATTTCTTATCTCTCTCATTTTTTAAATTCAGCAAATTTGTATATGTAATTTCCAGAATGGATAAGAGAAAGTGGATATGCAACTGAGAGTATTTGAGACAAGAACCCAATGTAATTATCAACACATACAACTTACAGCTGAGACCTCCAGTAATGCCATCTCAGAAGCAGATTGTACATCACATCAGAGCCAAAGATTGATAACAAGCCTCATGACGTTTAGGCAACACGTACAACTAAGTGCTAAGTTAACATTTTGTAGAATAACCTACATAATGTCAAAAAAAAAACAGGATAATGTCACTTTTCAAGATACGTGATACCCGTGCCGCGCTGACAAGACAAATAAATGGTCACGTTAGCTATATGTCAAACACTGTCGAGTGATGCTGTCACGCACGTCATAATCTTTTCCCTCCAGAAGATTCGTTAAGAATGTTTGATCCCTCCTAATGAGAATGATTATACCTTGTGGAATGGAAGTTTAGCGTTTTATTAAAAAATTACCCAGTCATTAAAAGATCACAAGAGAGCGTTCTTATAAACGGATGTGTTAATGTTCCCAAAGCAAAACTGTTGCTAATACAATGAACATTTGGTGATGAGCGAAGAAAATGATCACAGTGGCGTCTGTCGGTGTGTCTGGAATGTTGGATCTTAATTTTATCAAAGACTCTATCGAAATAAGACCGTACACAGCGCCATCTATCACCAGAATCGACCACTGTGAGGGTGAAACAGCTGATTGTATCCCATTTCGCATTTGACAATCGGGTCACCACTGTGGCCGCTAGATGCCGCCAATTCTGGGGGTGTAGTAGATACGGTCAACTCGCCATTAAACAAACTAGTAGTACTCGTATAACTTTCGTCCGTCCGACTACAGACAGCCAACCATCGACAGCTGTTTCGTGCTATTTGGCAACTCATCAGCATACCTATGGCGTCCATAAGAAAAAATTGATTATTGGGGACAATAGACGAAACGTCGAACTGAAATTCCAATTACGCCACCTTGCTGAAGAGAAAAAGTGACGATGTTAGTGTGCAGTTAAATATAAATCCCATTTCAAATAATGTCAGCAAAAAATAAAACCGATTTTGAGATAATTCATTTCTTCTTTCGTCTTTTTCCGGTAATACTCTGAATTGCGAAGTTATCCGTGTGTCATTTTCTGATTTTGCGTATCTTTCCCCCGCTTAACCGACTTCGTGTCTTTTGCCGTTCCCGAGATTTCATTGACGAGAGTCGTATTTGAAACAACCGGTATACCATTTTATTGAAAAATTTGACAGGCTTGGCCGTCCATGAAGAAGCCGCCCGCTGCGTCTCTTCTCCAAGTCCGACAATGATATATGGTGGACAATATTTACCTCACTGACTTACAAATATTTATCTGATATCTTTATAACGACATGGAATAGATCCATTCTTTAGCTTAACCTTTTATAGAAAGTTAGGAGTTACTTATGAAGCATAAAAGATAATATCAAATAAATGCCCATTTTTGCCGTGCAAACGTCAGCCCTCATGATCGCGTTTCCTGTCAGTTTTTGTTACGAGTTTCGAGAGGAACATTTTGAATAACTTTCCGAATATTGCTTTTCAGCTGCTAGATAGTGCTTGGATTGATGGCATAAGCCTTTTTCATAGAAACCACCACCGTTAGATCTGATAATTTTGGAGGCCAAATAACTACACCTAATTCGACAGAAAACGTAAAATCCAATGACACGCACAGGCTCTGACGCCCGTTACCGCAATATGATGTAAACCTTCGTGGCTTCTAAAATTCGACAACTTAACCTGTAATAAATGTAGATCCAATTTTTTGCGAAGAAAATTTCTAGAGCCTTTCATGAAATGTTTAAACAGTAAAACTTGGATAATCCACATTGTGCACGACACTGTAGAGCTCATGATAAGCTTCTTCCCGATTAATTCTTCCTAAATCTTGAGTCACCGAGACGATATGTCAGCACTAGTCTTAAAAAATGAGGTAAATACAAAGCACCAATTATAAATTTTTTTTAGTGAATATCTGTGATGTGATATATTGCGGGGCGGTGCGAATATCTATATGTTTTAGTCATTCCTAGATATTTCAAGCAGATTCTAGTTGGTAAACAGTGTAAAATCCAGCTGAAATGGATGCGAAGTTAATTTTGAAATGGATATCCACCTTTAGTATACTGTAAGTATTGTTTCATTAAATTTTTTGTCCGTCAATGCTGTTCACCTTTATACTGAGAGCGTTTTGCGCTCCACTATTATTTACAAAGTTCCTCTTGACTTTACTTTTATTCCCACGGATGTCGCTTAAGTGGGCCTAAAATGTATGAGTTCAAGATCATTCATAATTAGCAAGTAATCTTGAATGGAATAAAAGGACGGGTTCAAAGATCTTCATCTCGACCCCTCATATTGAGAATCCAAGACCAACTCAGAGGGTGTCATCGTCAATAATATGATTAAGCAAGCATCCCTGAAAGTTTTGGCTGCGGAAAAATCAAGAAAACATCAACTCCGCATGCGATTGAGCAATGTTTCCAAAATGCGATTTAGATGAAAAGGTCGTGACCTTCCACTAGATCCAGATGCTACCTCTAAGAAACATCACTCTGTTAGAGCCGACTTCTAGTCCTCTACGCCAAAAATATTGGCCCGTTAGTTTGGAATGTTAGACTGACCCGAGGTCTCTAGCTAAAGCTTACCATTTTTTGCCCAGAGCCGTAAAAAACCTATATAATGTAAAAACGACAAAATTTCTATTTGCTGACTAGATAGTTCCTAGTGTACAAATAGTTCATTCCGCGTTTGCTCGCTACGCGCGCTGTGAGCGACTCCAAAAGCGTCATCTAATGAGGAATGACTCAACGACACGTCCAATGATCATGCTGCAAGTCAGTTCCCCAGCATGCTTTGTTGGTTGCAGAATGCCGAGATAGTCTGTAGAGTATATCTCTGAGAAGATGTGACAGGAAGAAAATTAGTTGAGTACCTAGCAAGTATACATATTAGCTGTAACAGACCGGTCATTTGTGTTGTCCCTTCTGATGAGACTTTATGTTCAAAGTTATAAATTACAATTTTCACCGGTTTATTGCATTTTCAAAAACTTCGAGAAACATTACGGGAAATCACCACCGCGCTCGCTTTGTGTGTAATTAAAATTAGGAATCACGCATCACACAAAAAACATTTTTGCAGTACCCCACATCTAGGAGTTGATTTGTATTTTCTACTTGATATCGCAAAATAAATCTCTATAAAATTTAAATGACCGGAAACAATAAATAATATAAAATGTACGTTTCATAAATATTTCTGTCTGCAGCCTATTTTCGCACACGTTAGTTGTAATATACTTCTCCAACCAGAGGTTTTTTTTTATCTCTCAATTTTGAAATTCAGCAAATTTGCCTTCGTAATATCCAAGATGCAGCGTAAATCTCAAGTAAGTGTATTTGAGGCAAGCAACTAAGGGGATTAACACCAACACAAATTATTAACTCACAAATCCTGGCTACAACATACAGCTTAGACCTCCAATAATTCCATCTCGGAAGTAGACGTTACGTCACAACAGAGCCAAACATTTATAGGTGAAGCGTCATGATATTTAGGCAACACGTACAGCTACAGAATAAGTACACATCAAGTGAACTACTTCTAAGTTGACATCTTGCCGATCTGAACTAGAGAAGTCGAAATAGGTACTCTGAGATTTGTGCTTTTAAATATAAGCAACAATTTCGGAAAAAATATCATGTTTGTTTACATCCATGGAACGAAGAAGTATGGAAGTTCTGGTTTATAAATAATGCATCACCACCCCCCCCCCCCATCCCTCATCAGTTTCTGCAGATGACTAAAAGTTCCAGCAACTTATTGGCACAATTGCGGCTCAATTTCAACACTATGAAAAATGTTTTTCTCCAGTCCATCAATCCTTTATGGATTGCTTGAATACACTTTATCCTTTAACAATCTCCATAAATGTCAAGCGGGGTTAATTGTCATGATCTCGAAGGCTGGCGGTCATCACTCCATTGCGAGAAATCACGCGTCTATCAGGAAAACACGTCTGTAACCAAAACTTCCCTCGTCGTATAATTCGTGACCTTATCTTGTTGAAAAAATAAAATGTTAAAGTACATGTCATCCAGTTAGCACACTGGTCAAATCTCGTAAAAACGGCCAAAAGCCTATTTTCAAGAAAATGAAGATTCTGTGTATGGATCAGGGTTAGCAAAATCAAAAATCACCGAAAACATCAATAAAAGTATGAGTATGGATCAGGGTTAGCAAGGCTGACAATCACCGAATACATCAATAAAAGTGTGTAATTAAAGGAAACGAAAAAAAAGAGGCAGAGTTTTACCACACCACAAACTTGTGGCAACACTTATGTTTCTTATCGAGATTGGTACTTGATTGAAACGATACTTTGGAATTATTAGAGGTTTAGACAGTTTTTACAACACCTATTGCGAATCTGGACCTTCTAACATACGAGTCGTCAACTTTGTCTAAAGTTTCACATAATGCGAAGGGCACAAAATATAAATATGTGCCACGAGGTGCCACGCTAATAATAATAATAATAATAATAATAATAATAATAATAATAATAATAATAATAATAATAGCTTTATTATCCAAGAGTTTCCCATTTATAGGACACTTTATAAACATAATACAAAAGCAAAAAAAAAGCGAAAAGAAAACAACAAATGCAACACAGGTATAAATTTGTAACATGAGCTATTGGTCCGAATAAGCCTTAGCTGCCTTTAGCAGGTAATTAACATTTGTCGTAAATATATCACAGTAACATCCAATTCTGTTTAAGTTAGAGCACATTACATATAACGGTGACTTGAGAAGAATGTTTGTCCTAGCTCTATGAAGCCCGAATATTTTATGATTGCGAGATGCAAACGTTGGAGTACGAAACTTGATCTGTTCCAGGATCATGGGGCAATCAATTAAATTGTTGATCATTTTGTAGCCAAATATTATTGAGGCACAGTACCTACGTTTTTTCAAAGTCAACATGTCTAAGCGACTACATAGTTCCTCATTACTTGTACCTCTCTCTGGATATGTCCCATCAATCCTAAACTGAACAAACTTGATAAACTTCCATTGTACTCTTTCAATAGCTGTACAATAGCATTCATAGTAAGGGCTCCAAATAATACTACAATATTCGACTTTGGATCTAACATAAGCATAATATAATAGCTTAATAGACTTTATGTTATGAAAATTCCTGCAATTCCTTACTATGAAACCATAAGCCGCCGATGCTTCTGATGCTTTTTTATTTATATGCTGACTAAAAGTTAACTTTTGATCATAGATTATACCTAAATCACGTACATCAGAGCATCTTTCTAGCACAGACCCATCAATAGAGTACGGATATTCGCAAACATTAAGTTTCCTGGTATAGCTGACTATTTTACACTTCGTCACATTAAGCTCCAACTTGTTTTCTACACACCAAGACAGCACAAAATTTTATTGGTGTTGTAGCTTGATACAATTATCAGGAGTATTTATCAGCGAATAAATTTTTAGGTCGTCAGCAAAGCATAGGCGTTCACATTGAACTGAGTCACAGATGCAGATATCGTGAAAATAATAAGCTTCAACTCGCACCTAGTTAGTTTCTCCATCAAAATCATCATTTAAAATCTCTATGTGGTTTTCCAGAAATTCATCAGTGCTTGGTAGTTACGGGCTCGTACCAAAGCCGCGTAACCCTGACTCTCAAAACAAAACCAAAAGTATAATTCCAGAGAATTACATAAAAGGTAAGAACTGCGATTGTTTTCCACTATGTTTCCGAGTTAGAACCTTTTATTTCTTTCCTAGAAATCAGACCGCCGACTATGCGGGGAAGCCCGATTGAAATTGATTTCAGCATGAGGGTGGTGGATATTAACTCTATCAACGTTGAGGATATGGATTTCCGGTAAGATTTCTCATTCCCAAAAGGAATAGCGATATACAGGGTATTCCTAAAGTAGTGTGTACAGTATTTATGCTTAAGTATACAGGTATACACTTAGAATCGTTAATGATGTCCTGTGAAAGACAAGAAATGCAACTTCAGGGCGGCGAGCACCAATCAAGAGATAATATTCTTCATTCGGAAGCTGCACAACTGTTTACAGCAACAAACTAACTTAGTTTTTAATTCCTCTCAGTCGGTGCTTGCCACCCTTTGCAATATAACCTACTTGTCATTATTGCCAGAACCAGGCTTTGAGCCTATTGGGACATTTAATCAGCGCAACAAGGACTGTCACTATACGAGTTTCCATCAAAATTGACCGGTTTTCAAATTATGTTTTGAACGTGGTATTCTATTGAGGCTTGTGCACTGGAACGTCTGTCTTTTCTGTCAGAACCTAATAAAGCAACACATCTAATAAGAATCGTTCATTTGCTTGCTCATATATGTATTGGTTTTTAGAATGGACATGTTCTTGAAACAAGAATGGCAAGATGCTAGATTGAAAATACCAGAAGAAATGTTCGATTACGGAGACGACTCAATAACATTACCTTCGCAGTTTTTCGAAAATCTGTGGCAACCCGACTTATATTTTCTCAATTCAAAAGTTGTTGGTAAATTGTACTGTGAACAAAATTACAGAATATACACTATGGTTTTTCAGAGATCGCAACATTAACACACAAATTTTCATCGGTAACGTTGTTTAAGAATAAGACGATAAGGTATGCCGCAAGGATGCATGCTATAGTTGCATGCCAAATGGAATTTCAACATTATCCAATGGACACCCAAGTTTGCCCAATAGCAGTAGAGAGCTGTGAGTAAAAGATAAACTTTTGAATGCTAACGCTAAATAATATACATATTTTTTCAGTTTCCTACAATAACAACAAAATGATACTCAAATGGTCTGGAGCTGGTGTGTCGCTTAGTCCAGAGCTTAAACTTTTACAGTATAACATTCTTCCACTACATTTAAGTGAGACACATGAATATACAAACGAAAAAAATGGTATGTATCAAGATATTGTCTCGTACCCACATTGATAGTACTTAGTATGGGATCTTGCAGTTTCTTTCATTTGTAGCATTTTTGATGGTTGTATTTGAAATCAGCATTCCAGTTTGCACAGTGCACCGACCAGAGGCATATATGAGGGGTGTGGCTAAACCCCCTCCCCCCAAGCGGTACAAAATATTCCTGATCACCTCTTGGGCGAATTTGCCAATTTTTAGGTGAACATTTATTTCGTCGTGACGAATGCAGCTAGAACTTTCGTAAGGGAGGATTCAAAGTGTAAATCGTCGTCTGTCTTTTTTCTTGTTTTGTGATTAGATACAGGGTGGCCATTATATGGTATAACTGACTGATTTAAATTGCGAGCCATTTTTGGTACTCGCATTTCAGTAGGTGGCGTCGTAGTAATTGTTAAAAGCACATGTGTCCAATTCATCATGGAGCGCTACACGATCCCACAACGCGTCCGTATTGTTAACAAGTTTTACTTAAATAATGAGTCGATTGTTGCAACGATTCGGGAGCAACGACAAAATTTCGGTCGAAATAATGTGCCCAGTGAAAAATTTTAACAAATACGTGAAGTTGAAGACTTGAAGATCGGGCCGTGTTCGAACTGTTCGTACTCCGGAAAATATCGAGAGACTATTTTGAATATACGAGTATATACAAAACTCAGTTAACCCAAGAGCTACAGCCTAGTGACCATGGAAGTCACCCACAATACAGTCATGCAATAATAATGTCCAAAATAAAGATTGTTACCGACAACTGATAATGAGCGATGAAGAGCACTTATGAACGGATTTGTTAACAAGCAGAATTGTCGTATCTGGGCATTAGAAAACCCTCGTCTCATCCATCAACGACCACTACAACCTCGTCGAGTCACAGTTTGATGCGGTGTTTGGTATGGAGCTTACTTCTTTGACGACGCTGAAGGTCTTACTATCACTGGCGAACGCTACCGTGATACGGTGCAAAACTTTCTGGCTCCTCAAATCTAACAATTTAACCTGCAAAACATGTTGTTTCAGCAGGACGGAGCACTTTGTCACACAGCTAGGAAAACAATGAATCTTTTGCGAACAATATTTCCGCGACGTTTAATTTCTCAATTTGATAATGTCAGAACAATATTACGGAAGCGATTGAAAATATTTCTCCCGAAACCTATCAAAAAGTGATTGAAAATGTAATAATCAAGAGGGCTCAGGTTTGCGCGGCTTCTAGAGGCGGACATGTTTCTGATATTATTTTATCATACATAATTTCTGAGCTTGAATAAAAGATTAAGATGAAAAAAATTGACGTATTTTATTTCACTTCACAAGTATTCAAGATACAGACCAGTCAGTTACATATCGGCCACCCTGTATATGTGTGACTCTGTGTATGATTTTTCAAACTCGTAGACGGTACTCTCTAATTTTTCAACCGATTTTCAAAGGTTTTCAAAGTAAATATATATTTTATTAAATACATGGAAAGATACGTTGATTTAAATCTTGAAAACAAGAAAATAAGTATTTGGGTTGTCCATATTTACTTACCAACTTTCCTCCAATATTTTATGAATCATGTCTGCTCGAAAGTACTGAAAAATACATGTATTTCGTATTTACGTTCTTGCTGCAGAAAAGCACGGTTATGATATTTACGAACTGTTTAAAGGACAAACAACTTATTCGCAGTATTAAAACCCCAGAATTTCGAGAGATATCTATTAAAGTTTGTTTGTTTTCACTCTACACGTTGAAAGTATAAAACTATGTAAATTTCCACACGTTAATCAGCAAGAAGCAAGTTTTCATTTAGGGGCAACATGACGTTGCTTTCAATATTTTTGTGGCCCGAAACTCAGAAATTCTGAATAAGTCCAATTGAAGACATCACAATATCCGTCACCCCGCAACCCCCCCTGCCGAGACATGCCCCACCCAAGATCTTATATATATACAGTGTGAGTCTTCATAAAGTGCACATATCAAAATCAGGGAAACTACACTCTATTTCATCGACGGATAAATCATCAAAAAACATGAATTTGATTTTTTATGAATATATGAATATTTTAAAATTTTTAGTAGCAGCTTCTAACCATATTGAAATAACTCGTTACAATTTTTAAACTAAATGTCCTATAATATTGGAATACATTTTGTAGTGATTGCTGGTAAAAGGACGTGCCTGAAAAGTGAAGAATTCTAGGAAAAGTAATGACATCCATTTAGAAAATTTTGATGAAAATCTGTTTTTTTTTTTTCATTATTTTTACAATAATTTCAAATTTTCTATAAATATCGTCCCTTGTACCCTACCTTTTTTTATTTGTAAGTTATTCTACATGTTATCAAATTTATAAAAGTAAAAATTGCACGTTTATTACTCAAATGTAACAGTTTCTATGAGTGTTTATAAAAAAGCCCATGCGCATCGTCTTGCTAGGCACCATTGTTTATCATGTAGATACCTTTTTTTGGTGATTCAATGTAGAGTCACGCTGGCTGAAGTACGAGTGGAGAGGCGGGCCCAGTTGAAAAACAATTGAATGTTGGGCAGTTAGGCAGCTATTTGTGTTTCTCCTGCCAACTTTATCAGTTTCGTTTGCTACATATCACGCTTTCGCTTTTTGGTCGCGATGCCACGTATAAGTGATTTCCCTCCGGCACACATTGCCGATATCCATTATTATTGTGGAATGTACCGAGGGAATGCTAGAGCTGCTTGCACAGCTTATCTAGCTGCATTTCCAAATCGACGCCATGTTCCATCAGCCCGTAACTTCCAGAAGACTGGCTAACACTGGACTTGGTTTGCCTCGAGATCGCCGCGAACCAGGTGTTATTATTCATGTTGCTATCGAAGAAGCCATTTTGGATGATTTGTTTGCTGACCCGACTACTAGTACGAGACGTTCGGCGTTACGTCATGGCGTATCCCAGAAATCGGTTTGGCGCATTTTGAGGAAAGCAGGGTTGCATCCATACCATTATCAAAGGGTGCAGCACTTGCATGAAGATGTGGATTGGCGTCCAAGGTGCGTTATGTCTACATGGATTTTAATAAAAACAAAAGACAATCCTGAATTCCCGAAAACAATTCTGTGGACAGATGAATCTCAATTCACGAGAGACAGCATCGTGAACTGTCGTAATTTACATAAGTGGTGCCCAAAAGATGAAAACCCTAGGCTGAAAAGCTCATCAACATTTCAAGTGAAATTTTCTGTAAATGTGTGGGCCGCACTGATTGACAACTTTTTGATTGGTCCAATAATACTCCCGAGGACATTAAACGGAGAGAGATTTCTGGAGCTTTTGCGGACTGAACTGCCCTAGCTGTTGGAAGAAGTGCCGCTGCAAACCCGTCGAAGAATGATGCTTCAAATGGATGGATGTCCTGCCCATTACTCGCTGACTGTCAGGTCTTTTCTAATGAAAATTATCCATGCCGCTGGATCGGTCGGCAAGGACCTGATGGGTGGCCGGCGCGTTCCCCAGATCTCACACCTCTCGACTATTTTTTATGGGGGACAATGAAACAAAGGGTGTACAGCAGTTCCATAAACAGCGAAGCGGAACTTGAAGAAAGAGTTTTGCGTGTTGCAAACGAAATCAAAAATGATCCCGAGATGATTCGTAGGGCAACTCATCAAATTTCACTTCACGCTACAATGTGTTTGCAGCAACGGGGTGGCCATTTTGAACATTTGATGCATTAAGCCAAAATGATTATCCTATAGACAAGTCTATTTGATTTTACTTATTAAAGATAATGAATGATTCATGTAGGTTAATACTGTTGTTTTATTCCTACTCTGGCGTTGAACTGAGTTCACTGCTTTTTGAAACGCTGATTTAAAAACTTGTATCTAAGTAATAAACTTGCAATTTTTCACCATTAGGAAGCTAATAACATGTAGAATAACTTAACATTTAAAAAAGGTAGGGTAAATAGGACAATTTTTATTGAAATTTAGCAATTGTTTTAAAAATCATTGAAAAAATAGTGACTTTCAGCATATTCCTCTTTATTTTAAATTTATAGCATTTAATTTCGTGGAAATTTTCACTTTACTGATACGGCCTATTATTTGCAATCACTACAAAATTTATTCCAATATGATAGGACATTCAGTTTAAAAGTTGTAACGATTTATTTAAATAGGGTTAGCAGCAGACTCTAAAAATTTTAAAATATTCATAAAAAATCAATTATTGTTTTTAATTTTTTTTTGATAATTTTTCCGTCAATAAAATAAGCTGTAGTTTCCTTGATTTTGCTATGTGCACTTTATGAAGACTCACACTGTATATATATGCCACTGTTACCGACCTCTGTTCGCTTAGAAGAACGTGAGAATGGAAATTTTGGCTTTTACATATCTCCAATCTCGACTATCGTCTGTTTTCTAGATAAATCAGGTGCGTGGATCACCAATATAATGTCAGATTTCCACAGAAATTGTTGGCAGCCCAGAAAAGTTCAATATACCTATTCCAAATAGTTCTTCGCCTCACTCTAGAACTTTTTGAAAGTCATATTCGTAACCAACACCCCAAGTTATCGTGATGTACCGTTACAACCACTTAGAACAACGGAAGACAAAAAATGGCGTCAAGTAGGTCAACTCTGCACTTTCCACACAATGTTCATAAGGCGAATCAAACACGATCAGTATATATTGATGATTCCGTCAGTGTCAGCGGTTACTGATGTCCTGGCAACTCGGTCCATAAATAGCATTTCTTAGAAAGACGTATATAGAGGGAATTCAATGGATCAAGTCAGTTAAATCCGCCCATACAGTCCAAGTCCCCATTTTTGTGGGTAGCTCCGTCGCTACTTGACCGATTTTCAAAAACTACAAAGTTCGTTTATCCTCCGACCGGTACTTTCTAAGTTATATAGGGTTCAAGGATTAGCGAACAGACAGACCGACGGAAATGAGTGACGTGTTTTTCGAGATGCACATGTCCTGTAACATCCAAAAATCAATTTCTTTTTTGAAATGTTTTGCGATTCACAACTTACTCATCAGTGGAGTGGGAAGTAAAATGGAAAATTTGCACTGGGAAATGTCAAACAAATATTATCGAAAATATTTACGCATCTGCAATCTTGAGGAAAACCTATTTCTTATTTATAATAATAATAATTTTGGAGCAATGTCTAGACTCTAGGCGTTTTATTTGGTTTATTCAATTTTGCTTTCGATTTACTGTTTTTCCAAATGGTTTCCAGCATCACTGATAATTTGAATGTTTTAGGTAATTTTTCAAGGCTAGTAGTATACTTCAGATTCGAGAGACAAATCGGACACCATCTAATTCAAACCTTTGCTCCATCGACTCTAGTGGTGGTACTGTCATGGTTTAGTTTTTGGCTGGACCTGGATGCAATCCCAGCAAGGGTAACACTATTGGTTACATGCCTTCTAACACTGGTTACCATGTTCACTGGTCTAAGATCAGATATTCCAGCAGTGGCCTATATCAAGGTATAACAAAAGCGGATTTCCTAAACCAAAATTATTGAGCTAATAATATTTTATCGTTTCACGGTTAGTGAGCAACCTCAGCGCGAGAAGTTTTTAGCAGGCGAATAGAGTGATCAGTGAAGCAAAACACAAAAACTTAATTTGGGGTCGATTTGAAAAACCAAAATTTCTTGAAAATCGGTGTAGCAGTTACTGAGATTCTGCGGCTATAATAACGCCAACAGACATATCGACGTAACTGTGTGGCATGATTTAAACATAAAACATTGTAACCCGATATTCAAAAAATTAAACTATTCAAGTAATTTACTTTCTCATCAGCCGAAAAGAAGAATGTTGATTCTGGTTGCAAAATTTAGTGTATTACATAAATATACGTATTTTCAGGCACTTGATCTATGGATGGCTGGGTGCATGATATCAGTTTTTGCGGCACTAGGAGAGTTTGTAATAGTAAAAGTATTATATGGGAAATATAACTTGCTCAAAGCAAAAGAGGCTAAAATGACAGCACAGGTTCGTTCAGTGATATTGAAATTAACATCTTTAAACTAAAATAATATTAATTTCAGGAGTCAGCTCTGTCACAGTGGGTTCACCAACCGCCTCCCAAGTATGTGCATCATTTTCGATATCGACATATGGGCAAAGATAGGTTCATCAAACTTTATTGGAAAACAGTAAGTAAACTTTTACTTTTTCACTTTTGACTAATTGCATATTTTGCGTTCCGTCAAATTTGATATGATGAAGCCATCATATTCGTTACTCAAGCGACGTATCTATAGCTACTACTTTAACAGCATGTCTGCTCTTCCTACGCAACGGCGTCATCAGTTCATAAAGGATTTAGTTCAGCACAAATTAAACCCTCCGAGTCGGTTAAACGGGCCCATATTCATTCTTTCCCTGTCCTACCGGTGGTTATCGCGCATCCGGCAACGTTGTCTCTTCCCATATGTCGCCAGACGCGACAGCGCCCACCGATCCACCGAAGCGCCGCCCCAGTACGAACAGAACAATAAAGTAGATCGTTACGCCGGGCGTTGAGCCCAGATTGCAGAAAGAGACGCATTTTCTGCTAACTGTTGTACTCTTGGTGTGCAGCCTTGTGCCAGGATATGATTGCAATTTTCTGTTACAAAAGCTGCACTTATGACAACCGTCATGCCTTTAAATGCTGGCGGGGGGCTGGGTTCATCTTATGCGATGATTTTGTAGGCCTTTGATGATAGTGAACTGCCGACCACAAGGACAGTTGAGATACGCCCTCCCCCACCCCTCATTTTTCTACCCCTAAAATTTTTTTCAGAATCCCCTGAAAGGTCAGAAAACGAAGCTCGAGCTAGGGTCCGACCGAGCTTTCGGTTTCAGCCAGATTCGGTACAAAATCAGAATTAGAACCGAGTAGGGGAATTACCGCGCGGTGTTCACTTGTCTAAATTTCTTCTATCAGTGTATTGTTTCGTTTGGGTACTATAGCGAGTAGACGTATTGTAAGCATAGTAAAGCAAGTTAGCATTTGTGTTACCATTGATTCCATTAACCAAAGTTTAATGTTTAAATAAGATGTCGTTTCACATAGACAAATCCAAGTTATACCAAAAATTGTTTGAAAGTTTTAAAAAATCTCATACAAGTACGAAAGTACAAAATGTACAAAAGTTAGTTAACGAAGCGTGGCGAAATTACAAGTTACAAGCAAAATCCGACAAGGAACTAGATATTATTGTATCTAAGAGAATCGAAGAAGAATTGCAAGCGGCGACTAAGAATAAATCCAATCTACTAAATTTGTATTCTAAGGTGAGTAACGAAATCATTTTAGGTACCTATGAGTACTAGAAATATTAGAAATCGCCAAAAAGTTTCTCTTTACTGATTTGAAAATATTATGGCCTATCTCAAAGTATAGAGGTAATATTCTTTATATTATAGATATTTCTTATGATTGATTCCGTCAATTGGTCACAAAGTACAGGATGTTAGTTTTATACATATATATATATATATATATATACAGAAAACTAACACCCTGTATTTTGTGACCGGAATGAATTGCTCGTTTAAACACATTAGATTTAAAGCCATAGGGTTTTGTATTTACCACATATATTGCCATACTTTGTAGTCATGCCATAAGTTCTGTCCCTCGTTTTCAAACAAGTGTAGACCTGTTAATACTTGTCCGATTGTTTACATTGTGGTGTCAGTTGATTAAGCGCTTTTCGGGTAATTACATATACCTCAGTTTGTATTGATCTCTCGAAGCATAACGATGGAGTGGGGCAAGGCAGAGAACCGTATTGCAGTGATAGCTTTACATAAGTGTAATCACAGTGCTAGACAGATTTTTGAACTCTTACGCGGCCTGCAAATATCGCGTAAATTTGTGTCTAGGACCATTCAGCGGTACAATGAGACGTCCTCTGTTGATGACAGGCCAAGAAGCGGAAGACCTCGTCAAGTAAGGACTCCAGCAGCCATCAAAGCCGTAAAAGCCAGGATTCAAAGGAATCCACTCCGGAAGCAGAAGATCCTATCCAGGGAAATGAAGATTCCTGTCCGGACGATGTCGCGCATCATTAAACAAGACCTAGGGCTAGGGGCTTACCGGAGACGTACGGGCCAGCGACTTACGGCCACCTTGCGACACATCAGGGCGACAAGATCCAAGAAGCTCTTGGAGAGGTACGCAGCTGGGGGATTCCGAAAGATTTTGTTCACGGATGAGAAAATCTTCACCATAGAAGAAAAATTCAACCGACAAAATGACAAAGTGTATGCAAGGAGTTCACAGGAAGCTTCGGAGATCATTCCGAGAGTTGAGAGAGGCCACCACCCTGCGTCAGTCATGGTTTGGTGGGGGGTGTCCTACGAAGGGGTCACTCAGCTCCATTTCTGTAAACAGGGCGTGAAAACAAAAGCGGCAAACTATCAGAGCGACATACTGGATCCTATCGTCAAGCCTTTAAGTGGTACATTGTTTGCCAACCAACACTGGGTCTACCAGCAGGATTCCGCCCCCGCTCACAAGGCTAAGAGTACGCAGCGCTGGCTGGAAAGCAATGTGCCAGAGTTCATTGCTGCGGAAGATTGGCCCTCAGGGAGTCCGGACCTCAATCCTTTAGACTACAAGTTGTGGGACCTGCTAGAGCAGTTGGCCTGCTCCAAAGCCCACCGTAATATCGAGTCCCTGAAAGCGGATTTGATCCGATCAGCGGCAGCTATTCCTTTGGAAGCTGTGCGTGCAGTGATAGATGAGTGGCCCGCGAGATTGAAGCAGTGTGTGAAGGCCAAGGGGGGACATTTTGAATAAAACTGTTTGATTATGAATTCTAAAAATGTTGTCGAATAAATAATATCTTTCATATAAATATATCTTATCTTGTTTCATTTTTATCATGAGATTATCATGGGACAGAACTTATGGCACGACTACGTAGAATCAAATTGCCTGATCACGATTGGGTAATCGCTAAGCGTCATAAATTAATGCCATCTGTTTATGCTGGTATCAAAATCACTTCCAATATGCTATGACAACCGCAAGCCGTGTGATATTCTGGACCAACATACATCGCTATTCGAAGTGGAAAGCATAGTCCATCTACTGCTAATACTCATGCTCAGGATTTCGAGACGCTTCTCGAACTTGAAGAGTTTCGACCATTAGCTAAAACTGACCAAGGACTAGTAACCAATGGTAATCATGACGGTTGACGGAGGGCCAGATGAAAATCCACGTTATCAAAAAGTCATAGGGTTTGCTATACAACAGTTTAGGCGACAGGATCTCGATGCATTGTTTTTAGCTACCAATGCTCCTGGAAGAAGTGCGTATAACAAGGTAGAGCGCAGAATGGCACCTCTTAGTCGGGAACTGGCTGGTAAAATATTGCCTCATGACCATTTTGGGTCTGTTTTGGATGAACGTGGCGTTAAATTGATGAACATTTAGAAATATCTAATTTCGAATTTGCAGGAAATGTATTAGCTGAAGTATGGAGTTCCATGGAAATTGATGGCTATAATGTTAATGCAAAATATGTTGGGGCAGGTGAACAAGATCTTCCTGATTTTCCAGACATTAAATGGTATTCAGAACATGTGCGTGAGATCCAATACTTGCTTCAAATTGTAAAATGTAGAAATACAGAATGCTGTCGTCCAAGAAGTGGCCTATTTAGATTACTAGACAGTAGGTTTCTTCCACCACCTGTAAAAGTAAAACAAACAGTTGATGACTTGGTTTTGGATGAAGGAGGGAAATTTCTCAATGTTCCAGTCAATTTAGCTCTACACTTAAGTGCTTCACTCGAAGAATTCCTGCAAATGCCCTACGATTATTTTTGTCCGACGGTAAAATTGAGGCTATCAAGTCGAACATGCAAAGCGTGTGGTCTTTAACATGCTTCCGTCAAGTCACTAAATCGTCACATCCAAAATATCCATAAAAAAGTAAACACGCACACTGATAGGAAAGTTAGACCTGTAAGAGTCGCTGCTCGTCGTGCTAATGAACTGATGTGCATTACTCAAAATTTAGAGCACCATGATGTTGAATGGCTCGATGAGAACGACGTAGACATTCCAAAATCCGATGAAAGCGAGCAAACTCACAACACTGAACAGCAATCGAAGCAATCCAATGTCATCGAAAACTTAGAATCATGGATTCGGGTTTCATGGACTGAAGACTGTTAATTTGAATTTAATATATGTACCAAAAATTTAAAATAAGTTTGTTATGTTAGTAAGATATAATATTTTTGTCCTTTATGTTTAATACCGTATCAGTAAATTATAATCTCTATCTTAAATCTATTTTCTTATTTTTCAAATTATAATTATAACGTTATAATTATAATATTAAACAAAACAATACATTAATTGACAAATGTTTACGTAAGCATGGGGGGAGGGGGTAAGAGCTTTGCTTACTTTTGCTGACAAGGGGGATGGGGGGTAAATAATTGTAATAAATCTGCTTACGGAATACTTGAACATCCCCTAAATTACGTTCGTATGTTTTTGGATAACTTCAGGCAAATTTATTCAGACCAAAGGTCAAATTTGCTTGGGGAAAATGTTGAATAATTGTATTCGTGTCATATAATATGAGATTGTTCAAATATAATTATTAGATTACGTTATAAGGGCCTGTTGCACCAACATTGAATGTTAGTTTTTTAAGACTACAGAAATCCAGGGACTTTTTTATGTAATTTAAGGTAGCAGACAACTCACAAATTATTGGGGAATTCCAGTTCAAGCTCAATCTCGGGCAGAATATTCAAAACTGTACAAAGCAAAGTTCCTAAAAAATAGCATAGCTACTCTCTTGGAAATAGTTTTAGTTGTTGAATAATTCTTCTAGAAGCCCACTATCTATCAGTTGGAGGATACCCAAACCATCGTTTAAAATATCATGGCCAATAAAATCCATTTTTGAAGACTAAAAATGAATTACACGATCTTCAAACTCCAAAAATTGATCGTTAAAGTTAAACACATTTTACAAAATTTTAAACGGGGTTTAAGTACTTGTGCTATAGAAATCTTCAAATGAAACTAGGTTTCCGTCTACACTAAAGTTAAATAGTATTAGTGCAACAGTTCACAAGTTGTTATTTTTGCTTTATTGTCTGCTTTTTTACAAAGTGTTGGAAACAAAAAGACATTATTTATTTGTTTTAAGAGATAGATGTAGTACTGTTTTAGGATTATTTTCTTAAGTCTTATATTTCATAAAGCCTGATTATTTAAGTATATAGAGTACTGATATTAACTGATAAAGACCGAGTTTATTTTTTCTTGGAGATACACTACTATCTTACCTCCCAAATCATAATCCTGAGTTGGAAGTTTCGGTTTCGGCCGAAACTAAAATTGGACCGACATTCCGGTTTCTGCTGAAATACTAGTTTCGGTCGGACACTGGCTTGAGCGATTTTTATTTCTTAAACTTTTTTGTCCCTAGCTCCACCGCGAGTGGATCGATTTTCAAAAACAGTTTTTTCGCCCTGGGCATAGTTTCATTTCATCAAAATCCGACCGATACTTTCCAAGTTATACCGGGGCAGAGGATTAGCGGACAGACAGATGGAATTGAGCGACATGTTTTTCGATATACATGCCATATAACATCCAAAAAACAATCTCATTTTAGAAATTTTTCGGGATTACAATATTTCCACGCGAGTGTCGGTTGGAAGAAAATGCGCGTTGCGTATTTAACGTTCATATAAAGTGTCATTTGGCGGCAAATAATCTGTATATTAATTTGCAGGACAATGGAAAAGAAAAAGTAATGTGGAAACAAATAGACAGGACCAGCAGAATCGTTTTTCCATCATTTTTCTTCATCTTCTGTATGATGTACTGGACTATACTAATCTTCGGATGCCGACACAAACACTAGCGACTACAAAAATAACAACACAATTAAAAAACACAAATTTTATTAACTATAAAAGTACAATACAATTTATACAGTCAAGCATATATGAAAAACAGTTTAGAATATTGCCTGTTTGTTGTTATAAGGCACCTATGTTGATAAGTAATAATTATACTTCTATATGAACACTTTCTTACATATTTTTTAAATTTATATCCCAAAATAAGTATAAATATACAAATACAACAAACACACAAAAACGGACTGAAAATCAATTATTATTAGCTGTTTAAACATGTAGACAACCTCAAATACTTATCAAGATTGTCAAATATATTTACGTTGAGAGAAGGGCACGTAATGAGTGAGTGATTTGTTTTACATAAATTAATTAAGAAAGGTTTGGTATACAATTAGAACAAATCAAGCAACATGGCTGAAAATGCTTGTGACTACATTGCAAGTCATGTGAGAAATTTTCAATCAATATTTGATGTAGTAGTAGTGGCAGGGGGGCAAAGCCTGAGAAATAGGCCTTTTGCTTTTTCTGTCGTACCAACACTATAAGAACTACTTCATATTCAATCTACTGGTAAATGATTATTGAATCCGCCAAATCTAGTAATGGGCCAGTTTGGTGGATACATATTTGGTGTAAATAGTTCTGAAGTTCTGCCATGGATTCAAACAATGAATAATTATTAACGCAAGAGGGCACTTGTTAAAATCAACTGTTCATACTTCAGAAAGTAACCAGTTCAATTAGTGACATTAATTTTTAAATATCTGACCAGAAATTGCTAAATATTAAACGTGAGAAACCTGAAGTAGTACTCTGAAAAGTGAAAACATAACTTTTTGATTAAATTTTTAATGAAAGTAGTCTTAAAGTCTACACCACTAACGTATTCATTAGGAGGAGCGTTGGGGCTAAAAACGCCCCCCAGAATCCAATGATCTAATTCGAGTTCCTTATACAGGCTGGCCAAGAAATAACTGAATAATTAAAATTAAGCGCCATTATTGATACACTCATTTCAGCAGGTGGCGCCGTAGTAGTTGTTTAAAGCACGTGTCCAATTCATCATGGAGCGCCACACGATCCCAAAACGCGCCCGTATTGTTAAAAGGTTTTACTTAATGAGTGGATTGTTGCAACGATTCGGGAGATACGACAAGATTTTCCAACTGCTCGTACTCCGGAAAATATCGAGAGAGTTCGTGAAAGTGTAGTGGAGCGCCCCGAGACGTCTACCAGACATCGTTCTCAAGAACCGGATATTTGTCGCACGTCATTATGCACTATTTTAAAAAAAGACTTCCAATTGCAGCCATACAGAGTTCACTTAACCCAAGAACTACAGCTTAGTGACCATGAAAGTCGCCGACAATAGTCATGCAGCATTGCAGCTCACTACCCAAAATAACAATTTTCACCGACAACTGATAATGAGCGATGAAGCCCACTTCGATATGAATGGATCTGTTAATAAGCAGAATTGTCATATCTGGATATTAGATAACAGTCTTGTCATCCATCAACGACACTACATCCTTGTCGAGATATAAATCAAATCCAAGCGAATAACCAAAATTTCTGTGTTATGTGCCGCGGTTATATGGTTCAAGATGACACACGGGTTGATGACGTCAGTTACAGGAATCGCTTGAACGCGTTGGTTTTAACCGCGGTTTTGTTGCAAGTTGTTTATTTTAGAAAAGCGCGTATATGATCTCTGATTATTTTTATTATCACTTAATAATCGGTGCTTTTTCGTCTACAACTGTGTATGGAAAGTTTAAATAAGAAACCTTTCATATATTCATGGGAGAAATGTTCTTTTTTCAGAATTTTTTTTTAATGATGGAATCATGGCTTTGTGGCTATGATAACTTTCAATTCTCTAAAGTTTTCCGCATGTCAAAGACAACATTTATTGATTCAGCAGAAATGATGAAAAAAGAAATTAGCAAAACCGTATTCAGGTGGTCATCATCTAGTGAGTTTATATGGCCATATTTTAATATTCTTGTGGTATATGGCTACACAGGATACTTTTTTAAGCTTAGGAACTATATTTAAAGTGTCCCCAACAACAGTAATGAGTATAACTAATAAGGTGCTCCACTTTATGGTAAAACTGAAGTCAGCCTGTATCAAGTTTCCCAAAAATGAAGCTGAAGTGCAATAACAATATCCAATACCCGGCAAAATTCTAACTTGTCACATTTCAAATAATAACCAGAAATATAAAACTACTCCAGAGTTGGGTAAATACCACAATTTTGCGGTGATAACTATGACATATAACAGCTGATTCATGACGTCACGGATCTTATAACCAAGCTGATAACCACACTCGCTTGAATGGATCGGTAAATACCAACCCAAAATGGTAAATACCATTTTCATTTGCTTATCCGCTTGAAATTGATTATAGTTTGGTGCGGTGTTGGGATGGAGGTGTCATTGGACCTTACTTCTTTGAAGACGCTGTACGCAATTATCTTACTGCCACACGCGAGCGCTACCGTGATATGGTGCAAAACTTTCTGGCTCCTCAAATCCAACAATTTAACCTGCAAAAAATGTGGTTCCAGCAGGACGGAGCAACTTGTCACACAGCTACAGAGACAATGTATCTTTTGCGAACAATATTTCCAGGACGTTTAATTTCTCGATTTGGTGATGTCAACTGGCCACCAAGGCCACCGGATTTAACGGCTCCTGACTTTTTTATCGGGATTTTTGAAAAATAGGGTTTATGCCAACAAACCAAATTCTGTAGAGCAGTTGAAGAACAATATTACGGAAGCGATTAAAAATATTCCTGCCAAAACCTACCAGCAAGTGATTGAAAATGGAATCAAGAGGGCTCAGATTTACGCGGCTTCTAGATGCGGACATTTGTCTGATATTACTTTTTATACATAATTTCTAAGTTTCAATAAAATATTAAAATGAAAAAATGGACGTACTTTATTTCATTTCACAAATATTCAAGATACAAACCAGTCAGTTACATATCAACCACCCTGTATAATACTGTGACTGTGACTTCCCTCACTCAAAGGATGGATCCGCCCTCAACCCCTCCATCCAAAAAATGTTTCTGGATACGCCAGTGGCCTACACTCCTAAACATAATCAGAGTAATACTAACGCGCCCATCTCTTACTAAACCTACGATTAAAAATTCGCACAAAACGTAAATAATGGCAGTATCTGTAAAAATCTGCAAACAAAAAGCATTATCAAAATAAATATGCATCTTTCAATATATCAATCTAACTGCATAAAACGTAGCTGATGAATCTGATCAGCATGACTATGAAAAAAAAACTACAACGTCACCTCACCTTTTGTAAACAATACTGGCTGAACAGGGAGTTGATCAAGATGTCATTTCATAGAAAATCATCAAGAATCTTTTGTCACAAATGTAGGAATCGAACGGTTCCTTGTAAACTGACATATTTATTTCACCCATTTGTTACCAAAGTAAGACGCTATCAGACTGCTCAACAAACGGAATAAAACAACTCGTACAACTTTTAACTCAATGTAATTACACGCAAAATGAAATAAATAATAAAAAGTTGGTATACTCTAGACAAAACAATAAAGAGATGTTTAGCTTCAGACAAAGAATATTCTTTTAGTACATCACGAATGTTTTTGCCCCAAGCTAATGTTATGTATGTTTGTTGATTTGATACAATAATCGTCTTACCAGTGAATGTCCTCAAAGGGAAAATAAGATATACATATATTCATGCATTGTTCAACATCCATATCAAACAGTATCATTTTGTAGGTGAAGTAGTATACTATTATTTGCATTACCTACTCGTGTATATGCTTATTTGCTTATGTTAAACAATGCAACACAAAATCCTTGACGCTTCTGCAGCTCAACACGACGTCTTCAAGTTCCTTGAGCTTAATGATGTATTCTTTGTGCAGCTTCCTTGTTGGATTTTTGTAGCGTAATAATGTTATTGATTTGTCCAATATGTAGTGTAACCACAACAAATTCGTATGAGGTACAAAACTCTGCCAATTATTTCTGGAAAAAGACCATATTTAGTTAGACTTACACAAGTCTCTGCAGTTGCGGCCCGATTTTACTAATCCAGCGCTCAAAATTTGCGCTAAAGGCACTCAACCAATGAGAATGCGTTTTTGAAGTAATGTCCGATTTCTTGTAAAATGTCTCTCAAATTAGAGAAAAATGATACGATTCTCATATTAAATCAATAAATACTTCATATATCACCCAGTCACAATTTTCACCAATCAAAAAGAAGAGTTTGATTTATATAGTCGCAAATTCGAGGAATCAAAAATAAGCAATTTGGTCCTACTCTAAGCATGGACCAAATCTGATACAATTGATACAACAGTAGAGAGAAAATTTTGAAAAAAAGCTATATTTTCAACAATTAAACCCCGTTTTTTCTTTTTATATATTAGTAACAGGTCAGTCACGGTGTCGGTAAACCCTATATCACTGGTGTCCAATCACAATTTTAACGTCTACTGAGGTGAACAGCTGATCAGTAGGCGACATCTTTGTATTAGTCTGTACGAGGGATGTCTTTTAAGTTTTGCATATAGAAACATAGTAGGACGCGCGGATCGAACGCCAGTACTAAATCTTAACCTCACTCTTTGATAAACTTAAATTCAAAGTTTCACAATAATACGTGCAGTGTTCTCACTACAGGGAATTTTTAAGTGTCACCAAGTCATTAGAAAAATGGAACTCAACCGAGAACATTTTCGCGCCATAATTTATTACAACTTTCACAGACAATTATCGCAACAAGAATGCCTTGCTGAGTTACTGTCTGTTTTCGGCAACGAAGCGCCACATCAGTCGACAATTTCCCATTGGTATGGAGAATTCAAACATGGACGGGTGAGTCTTAGCGACGATCCCAGGGTGGGTGCACCAAAAACGGCAGTCACCCAGGAAAACGTCGATGCTGTGCGCGAACTCATCATGGAAGATAGACATGTGACATATCGCGAGATTGAGGCGTCCTTGAAGATCTCAAAGACCTCAATTCAAGAAATTTTACATGAAGAATTAGGAGTAACAAAATTAGTTTGTCGTTGGATACTCCACCTGTTGACTGACGAGCAAAAAGCAGCCAGGGTTAATTGGTGTCAAAAAACGCTTGACCGTTTCCTTTCCGGAAACTAAAAAAATGTGTACGGCATTGTTAGCGGTGATGAATCGTGGATTTACTGTTATGAACCAGAAAATAAACGACAGTCGGCTGTTTGGGTGTTCCAAGGACAAGAGAAGCCAACAAAAGTCATCCGTTCTCGAAGTGTTTCGAAAAAGATGGTCGCGACATTTGTGTCAAAAGCGGGTCATATTGCAACAATTCCTCTTAATGAGCAAAGAACTGTTAATGTAGATTGGTATACCACCATTTGTTTGCCAAAAGTCATCACCGAGCTTCGAAAAATCAACCCCGAAAAAAGAATCAGCCTCCACCAAGACAATGCAAGCTCGCACACAGCCCCAAAAACGAGGCAGTATTTAACGGAAGAAAACGTAAAATTATTGGACCTTCCTCCATATAGTCCCGATCCTAACGATTTCTTTACTTTCCCGAAAATTAAAAACAGACTGCGTGGTCAAAGGATCCAGTCACCAGAAGCAGCAGTTGACGCATTCAAAAATGCCGTTTTGGATCTGCCAGCAAACGAGTGGAATAAGTGCTTCGAAAATTGGTTCGAGCGCATGCAGATGTGTATTAATCTTCGTGGAGAATACTTCCAAAAACAATAGTCATTTAAAACTCCCTACCGTGTTGTTTTATTTCCATATGCAAAACTTAAAAGACATCTCCCGTAATGTTGGCAATAATGAATCGGGTGTAAATGTAGCAAAACTTGCTTGTTGCGTTTTTTTGTATGGTGATGCACTTTTCTAAATAAAAGAGTTGTTAGCAAGTACAAAACAAATCCGTAGCGTACACAAAACCGAAACAACATAAAGCTACGTAGTCGTGCCATAAGTTCTGTCCCATGATAATCTCATGATAAAAATGAAACAAGATAAGATATATTTATATGAAAGATATTATTTATTCGACAACATTTTTAGAATTCATAATCAAACAGTTTTATTCAAAATGTCCCCCCTTGGCCTTCACACACTGCTTCAATCTCGCGGGCCACTCATCTATCACTGCACGCACAGCTTCCAAAGGAATAGCTGCCGCTGATCGGATCAAATCCGCTTTCAGGGACTCGATATTACGGTGGGCTTTGGAGCAGGCCAACTGCTCTAGCAGGTCCCACAACTTGTAGTCTAAAGGATTGAGGTCCGGACTCCCTGAGGGCCAATCTTCCGCAGCAATGAACTCTGGCACATTGCTTTCCAGCCAGCGCTGCGTACTCTTAGCCTTGTGAGCGGGGGCGGAATCCTGCTGGTAGACCCAGTGTTGGTTGGCAAACAATGTACCACTTAAAGGCTTGACGATAGGATCCAGTATGTCGCTCTGATAGTTTGCCGCTTTTGTTTTCACGCCCTGTTTACAGAAATGGAGCTGAGTGACCCCTTCGTAGGACACCCCCCACCAAACCATGACTGACGCAGGGTGGTGGCCTCTCTCAACTCTCGGAATGATCTCCGAAGCTTCCTGTGAACTCCTTGCATACACTTTGTCATTTTGTCGGTTGAATTTTTCTTCTATGGTGAAGATTTTCTCATCCGTGAACAAAATCTTTCGGAATCCCCCAGCTGCGTATCTCTCCAAGAGCTTCTTGGATCTTGTCGCCCTGATGTGTCGCAAGGTGGCCGTAAGTCGCTGGCCCGTACGTCTCCGGTAAGCCCCTAGCCCTAGGTCTTGTTTAATGATGCGCGACATCGTCCGGACAGGAATCTTCATTTCCCTGGATAGGATCTTCTGCTTCCGGAGTGGATTCCTTTGAATCCTGGCTTTTACGGCTTTGATGGCTGCTGGAGTCCTTACTTGACGAGGTCTTCCGCTTCTTGGCCTGTCATCAACAGAGGACGTCTCATTGTACCGCTGAATGGTCCTAGACACAAATTTACGCGATATTTGAAGGCCGCGTAAGAGTTCAAAAATCTGACTAGCACTGTGATTACACTTATGTAAAGCTATCACTGCAATACGGTTCTCTGCCTTGCCCCACTCCATCGTTATGCTTCGAGAGATCAATACAAACTGAGGTATATGTAATTACCCGAAAAGCGCTTAATCAACTGACACCACAATGTAAACAATCGTAAAGTATTAACAGGTCTACACTTGTTTGAAAACAAGGGACAGAACTTATGGCATGACTATGTATATCTAGCTGGCATTGACGGATCCGCAGCATTATGTGTCATTTGTGGAATTTTGAATTACAGTAGCGGACAAAAGTTTGAAAACAAATATTAACATTATTATGAACTATTTCATATACCTAAATTAGAATTGTGAAGGAACAGATAATATAAATATTAAAGTCTACCTTTGGCTCTCGTATTAATATACTAAGTGACATAAATCCGAACACCCAGTTTAAATGGTTTTATTTTAATAAAATTTTAGAAGGCGACGTGGTGAAAGGAGGAATCCATAGTTTTTTGTTGAAAGACATGTTCATCACACTGTTGGAGTTATGGTTTGGGGTGCTATAGCTTATGGTTCCAGGTCACCTCTAATCTTCATCAGAGGTAACATGAACGCGCAGCGTTATATCCACGAAGTTCTAGAACCCCATCTTTTACCCTATCTTGACACCATGGCAGATCCAACTTTCCAACAAGATAATGCCCGACCACATGTTGCAAGAGTCACAATAGACTTCTTTCAACATAATGATGTCACATTGTTACCATGGCCACCAAGATCTCCCGACTTATCCCCAATTGAGCACGTGTGGGATATGATGGGTAGGAGATTGCTCAATTTGCAACGTCCTCCTCAGACTCTAGAAGCACTTCGAGAGGAGTTGGTGGTTGCCTGGAATGAGATACCACAGGAGGACATTGACCACCTGATCAGAAGCATGCCTAGGCGCGTTGGAGAATGCGTAGCACATCAGGGTGCATCCACACATTATTAAAGGTCGAAGGGCTTTAAAGCAGTGCAATCATTTTGAAATTTTTATCATTTACTTATTATGCTTCATTAAGTACTTTATTAAAATAAAACCATTTAAACTGGGTGTTCGGATTTATATGTCACTTAGTATACAAGGTTTATCTCATCAATATTCAAATTCTCTGAAAATAAAAACACGCATTTTTTAAATACCAGTTTTTGTAACGACAAAAGTATGGAAACATTTCAGTTTTTCCGTATTTACTCGTTCTACGATACTGATATTGCGTTCGGTAAATATTAAAAGCAGTGAGAATAGCAAAAGTAAAAGAATTAAGAGACATAGTGATTGAATTATTTGGAAGTGGTGTCAGAAATGTTGATATTCTCAACGACTGAAAATGAACAAAGGAACGAATATCAAGAATACGGATCAACAGCAACGCGGCCCAGGTGCGGAAGACCGACAAAAAACAGATTATGTTTTGGATCGCTACATTAAACGTTTGTCCCATGAAGACCCTCGAATGCCAACCACCCAGATTTTCAAATAAATCGTAGAAGAGGGTGCCGAGAATGTTTCTGTCAGAACAGTGCAGAGACCCTTGGTGAATTTTGGGCATTTTGGTAGGCATCCAGTGCAAAAGCCTCTCATTTAAAAAAAATCGTATTGCTCGGTTTGAATTTGCTAAAACTCATCAGGCTTGGACAGAACAACAATGGAATACAGTTTTATGAATCGATGAAAGCAAGTTCAACTTGTTTGGATCTGACGATACGGCATATGTGAGACGTCCAATACGAAAAAGATTCGACAAAAAGTATCAGTTGCCAACAGTTAAGCACGGTGAGGCGAAATCAGGGTTTGGGGCTGTTTTTCTACTTCTGGAACGGATACAATTGTTAAAATTGTTGGGAAAATGGATCAAAAACTTTACAAAGATATTCTTAGTGAATACATGCTCCCTGCTGAAGAAAAAATGCCTTTTCGATGGACATTCCAGCAAGATAATGATCCCAAGCATACCTCAAAATTCGTAAAGGACTGGTTAAGACTAAAAATGTTAATGTTCTCACATGGCCTTCGCAATCCCCGGACCTAAACGCTATAGAACAGGGCTTAACAAAAGCGATCCAGCGCATCCGTGCAAAGCCAGGTGCAACAGCGCTGTGCGCAGTGCATCGTGTCGGCTCGGGTGCGGTCGGAGTTACTCGGTTGGACCGGGTAGGGTCCCGCTCGAAGAATCCGTTTCTGCGCGCGCTGCAGGGCAAGTAGTAGGAGGTAGTGAGGAGGAGAACAGAAAACAGATTGCGAGGTGACAGAGAGACAGCGGCGCGAAAATGTGGCGAGTGGAGAGGGATTCGCACTCGGCCGCGGCTGATTTGCACCAAGCACCATGCAATGCACCCGCGCAAGCACCCTGTTAAGCCCTGCTATAGAACATTTCTAGGAGCATGTTAAAAGACAAGAAAAACGATTTATTTGATTATGTAAAAAATATTTGGCAAAATATCCCAACAGACTTCTGTAAAAAATTGGTTTCTTCTATGAGCAGCAGATGTCAGGCTGTGTTGAATGCTAACGTTTATGCTACCAAATATTAGCTAAACAGTATTTTTTTCAATCTTTTGTTAGAGTTATTGTATTTAATTTTGTAATAAAAAATATGTTTCCATGCGTTTGTCGTCTCATTTTTTGTCATAAAATAATATGAAGGTATTTTAATGCTGGTCTGTAGTACCACAGCAAACACAAATTGTCATTTGTATCCTCAAGACTGTAAGCAAACTAGATGAGAAAAGAAATAGTCCTTAATAATAAAGAATAAAAAATTAGCACACTTTTTAAAAATTAGAATGTTTCCAAACTTTTATCTGCTACTGTATGAAATGTTTATAACTGTGAACACCTATTTTTGAGAGGTTCATCAATTAAGTCGACCTCAACAGCTAGAAAACATTGAATGGAGATCAACAACACCGATCAGTCATTTGCTGTATCTGACTCATTATTAACCAGTGATGACCAGCTCACTTTAGGAGCTTGATTTCAGTTCACTGTATTAAATCAGGCATAAATCGATATTGTATCAAACTTAAAACTCACCCATTCTCCTTCTGCATCAGCCTATATATATCAAACTGATAATCACCCTCAGCAGTGAACAGATCTGGATCCAAACTGAGGTCGTTAAATATAACAACGCCATCATGTTCAACTCTGGACAGGGTGAAGTCAATGATGGTTGCTTGAATGCCTTTAGTCGGCACGATATAGGTGTTCCCGTTTAACGTGAATCTGATCTTGGTGCTCTTATCAACTTGTTTCAATAGGATGTTGCCCCAATGCAGATCTCTGTGCTCGAAATGTAGTTCTTCTTCTGCCACAGCTAATGCAAAAGCCACCTGCAATGACAACAATGCAATATATAAAAATCATTTGAATGTTTTCACAGATTTAAAGTAGCTAGCAGAAAAATATAAAAAGACCTAAGCCATATATTTTTCAAATTATAGGCCTTGAAAATTTTTCAGCTTGATGTTGACTTCTGGGACACCCTATATAGTTGACAAAAAAGTGTAGGACTTAGGCCCGTATCGTCAGTCGTCCCTACAATTGTAGGGCGCCTTTATGGCCTCCATGATTGTCATAGTTTTCTACTTCTCTGTGTCAGAACTCTATTTTGAGGTTATGTCACAAACATCTATTTGCATCAAATTGTGCTTGCTTTTGAGTTATATCATGTTTTATCAGCCTGAAATTTCCTACAATAGGAGAGCGCTGACGCTGACACGGGACAAGTGTAATATAGAAATTTTTGAAGGAGAGAAAGGAGTATGACAATCAAGGAGGCCATAAACGCGCCCTACAATTGTAGGGACGACTGCCGATACGGGCCTAAAGCACCACATTCAGCAAGCAGGTTATGTTATCATCAGTCCAGTCACACTCCAATAGTTCAAGATGTCAAAACATGGCAACAAATAACAGATTCTCACCTGTTTGAACATCGCCAAGGCTTGTTGTGCATTGGCAAAGACAAAGGACTCTAAATCCTTCCCAGCATCAGCTAGTTGCAGAATGATGTAAAGTTGATCATCTAGGAAACAATCTGGACAATCATTCTCGCTGCCTTTTGTCTCATCATACAGATGCCACAGATCAATTAGCCTTTCAGGATAGCAGCCTTGAACACACTTCACCTCTTGGAGTTCAGTAAAACCACTTGTCGAATTCACAGGATTTTTTCTGAGGTTGCTCAGTTCCCTGAAAATGATAAAAAAGATCAATAAGAGCAGTTAAACATGCAAACACTATAACTGTACAATACTACATCCAATATGTATTGAATATTCAGAATTAATACTCACATTGAGATTATTATTTCAGATAGAATTTCCTCATATTTCTTCTGCCTTTCTCCATTAACCATGAGGCTGCCTTCTATTGGAATGATCTTCAATACTGAAGTGCCACCTTTGGGGTTTCTGAGGAGATATACCTCTCCATAAACCCCTTCTCCAATTTTCTGACAGTGTTGCAGAACACTGAAACAAGAACTCTTTCAAAAATCTATCTAATCTATCTGATTTCTGCTAGATTCAAATACCTAATAATCTAAATAACCAAGACTCACTCTTTCGCTATCAGTCAATAGTACCACAGATAATAGAATAACTATACTGGTGATGGTTCAGCTATTAAAGCATGACATTTTTAAAATTAGGTAAGTTGGTATTATTTCTCTATTAATATTTCCTAACAGTTCTGAGAAAAAAGAATTTCAGACATTATGGACCATTAAAAAATGACAAAAAACACAGAATAATCGTTTATTGCCATAATACTTCCTATGTTGGTGATGATTATATAAAAATTTATGTAGTGAAATTATATAAGTGAAACAATGTAATTAATAAGATACAGAAACAAGGTCATGAATAATTGTTACTGTGCACATCCATTTCAAGTAGCATGATTACATTTCATGGCTTTCACTTTCACCATATGGCTAGAGGCAAAATTAGAAAAGCAATAATATTATTGAATTTATTTGTATTTCCTTATGAGAATTTTCTTGCAACCTTCAATATAATGAGCTACATAATATTTATTATGATTTTACTGGGATAATGTAAATCTATTAAATATCCAAACACCTGAAAAAATGTGCCTACAAAAGTTTGAGGAAATTAAAAAAGGGATTTATTGGTGACCTCTAATATGACCTCAGGTAATTTGGTCAACCTCTTAACTTCAAATATAGCAACTAAGATCTTGGATAGTTCATTCACCTAAGGATTTGTCAAATAGCAAGGACCATTTTGATAACAGATATGTAATCAGCATAAGATTCTACACAGAAATCAATTTTCATACTTCAGGTCAGACCATCATAAATGGTCAAAACCTGTCTGTCAAGTTGTGATGTTTAAAAAGTACACAAACTGTCTAGAAACTTGACCACCACACAATCTTTTGAAAAAAGATTTTTACAAAAGCCTCAGGAGATGAAAAAATGAACATATTCACTTTATAAATTTAAATAGTAACCACCATTTTTAACAGCAGATCTGGAATCAGCATGAGATTCTACAAAAGAATCAATTTTCATATATGACATCAGCTCATCGTAATTTGAAATTTGTATTTGAACGTACTATCAAAGATCTTAGATGCTATTTGAACTTAAGAGGTTGACATCTAAGGTGTTTATCTAGGTCATGTTAGAGGTCAGCAGAAACATTTGTACAGACCTGGAGATGCATTTTTACAAAATTCACAATAAAATACAATGTGTTGGAAATATATACTTGATGAAAATGAATGATATATGTACACAAGGAATGCATCACTATATAAAGATCCAGGCCAGTTTATTTTGATAATATAATAGGTTAAGACAATAATTCAAACAAATAAGTTGTTGACATTATACAAACTGGTGATAAAGATATCAGGACAAATATGATTCTATGAACAATATTTCTTCTCTAAAACACTCAAAAATATGATATAGAAACTGGTACATGATTCCTTTTTTTCATTCAACTTGTCATTTTTTATTGATTCTATACTTAGTTTCCAATAAAGAGCTTGATTTTTCTCCTTCAAAATGGCCACGCCAAATTCATGCAGACCTTTTCTCCTTTCAGTTCTAAGGGTCATGTTTTCAGTTGCTCCTATTTTCCTTTTTTACTTTGAAGGATGCCTTATTTGGCTTAGGCCTCCCTGTTTTTCCTTCAGTTTTTATCTTTTTTTTAAATGTGCCTGAAGGAGAGAAAAAACTGGAAGAAAAATAGGGAGGCTATGGCCAAAGAAGGAGTCCTTCAAAGCAGGAAAACAAATGGGTGCAACTAACAACAGGACCCTTGTTATGGTTTGCATAAGCCCAGGGTAATTGACTAGCTTAGCTATACCAGTCTTATTCCATCAAAATAGTCACTGGGTTTCAGTTGTAAATGAGATTAAAAATGCCTACAAATGGGTTAGTTGAAGAATATTGCTGATATCTGGGTTTAAAAAGGTATAAACACCTTGAAACTCACATTTGCAGAATGGAATGCATCATATACATATAGCGATGTTGCCATATGGAAGAAATATACAAAAATTTAGGAAAATATGCATTTCCACATGCTTTTTTACTCTAGAATTTCTTCCTCTTGGAGTTGTGCTGATAGTGTATTTGACTATATGTAGGGCTGTACGTTCAAAGTCATACATAAAAATTTAATTATTAGAAACATTCATCAACATGGTAACTTCTTGAGTAATGAAATCTGGGAACATCACACCACATATGGAAACAAACACTCATTAAGCCTATTGTTTATCGAAATATTTCAGAACTGTCATATTTTCAGTCCCTTTTCTTTCATCTACACCCAAAAAAGTAGGGACTGAAATTATTTTTCCATCAAAAACTGCTTGTGAAGCAAAGCTAGACATTTACCGAGGCCTTTATATCCAGCTACTCAAATCCGGGCTAGATTTGTTTTTAGCTCTTCAGATATTTTGAAGACAATTTGCATTCCTACAGTCATACTTCCAAATTGCAAGATTACATGAAAAAGAAAGTACGCTACTTTTAGAATTTACAACCGGAAAAACAAGGAAGCGTCTGAAGCGCAAAAAAAATGGACACCGAGAGGTGCATTATGACACTAAATTGACTGCTCTATTTACACAAAAACAAGGCGTCTGCTGATCCTCTTCCAAATCACAGAATTGCATGGAAAATTACCGCTATGCACAACCAAATACATTGCAGCTTACTTGGCGAAGTACAAGCACACACGCATAGCTGTTACTACTACTTCTGAATTAGTCAGCACCATTTTAGTACTCACCTGTCTGGGTAACAATCCAAAAATTTCCATGGCTCTGCCTGTTGACATCGACTGAGTACGATTTCCCTGGCTGTAACAGGCTGACGATGAAGCTGAAGTAAGGTGGGCTCTCTTATCGATAGACTGTTAAAGCTATTTTCCAAATTTTCCTCTCGACCACGCTGCTGTTCACGTTGCTCTGCTTCGGTTGGAACATAACCTGGTAACGGGACCGCGTCATAAGCGCTAACAGGCATACAAATATTAAATTCCGCGAGCAAATGCATGCACAAAACAGCTACTAGTAGTTTTCGGATGGACGGCGCACCAGAGAATGAAAGATGTAAATGGGTTTACGTGGATTTCTGACGAGTTTTTTTGGCAGAAATTGAGGATAGACGCACAAACCGACCTTGGCACGATCGCGTCTAACTGCGCAGTTGTGATTGGTTCGGAGAAGTCGACTGGTATTGGTTGATAGTAGTCGGTAAGGAAAACCGCAAGGCCAGCTTCATTGCAGGCCGGTACGCTATACAGGAAATCTGGCAACGTCTTTCGTGGTGAAAAAAACGGCCGGCAACACTGTCAATATTGATAGTGTCACTTGTCTTGATAGTGTCACTTGTCTTTCATACGTCTTTCTTCAACGTCACCGCTGTCAAGCTGCCATTTTTCCTTTACCGCTAAAAATGTGCCGACGTGTGGAGTGGCTTGGAACAATTCTGCTTCGAAATAATTAATATAGGTAAGATGTGATAATGAAATAGAGCAGTTTTACTTTTGATTTTTATTGAAATTCAGAGTATGTCATCAAACCCTTAATTAAGCAAGCGTTTATGCCCACCTTGAAAAAAAAACCTGAGTGAAATTTTCCCACTCCACTCGGTTCCTCTGTGCCTACATTATTTTTTTATAAATTGTGTGTTTCAAGAAATGATTTCCAATATTTTCAGTTCCAGTTTCTGTCACCCATGTTTCAAGAATGGAGTGGGTTAATACAGGTGAGTACCTACATGACATTGATTCTGATAATATTGTGAAGTTGCTCAGCGCATTTATTATGTTTCACTTAAATCTTTTTGATACTACTATGGCAGAAACAAGCAAGAAATAGACACGACAGTGCCTATATCCTTATTGCCAAAATAAATACATATTGAATGTAAGTCATTCATATCCCCCATCCAAGAAATTTCATCGATTCCCAAAAAATCCCAGTCAAAGGCAATTATGATACAATGCCTGTGGATTAGTCATTCTGATATTGCAGTTTCATTGAAGGAATGCTCTGTTGGTTTCTCAGCAAGCATTTGTGATTCTCCTTCAACTTCGGCAGCAAGCCATGTAAATTGCCTGCCAAAAGAAGTACCAAACACTTGACAGATGCAAGTACAAACACGATCACTGCTATTCTAAGCCAGATTTTTGTGGTACAGACTTATTATCAAGATAAATACACATTTCTGTCAGACACTTCGAGATCATGCCTTACACAATAAGAAGTAAGTAAAAGTCAGTTAACAGAAAGGGAATCTAAAATGTATCAAATTTACCGCAACATAAAGTGATGTTGACATCCCCCAATGCCCTATGTGGGGAAGCACTGTTCTCTGATGAGTTGATCCCATTACAGTTGTATGTTCATTTCAACAGGACAACAAGCAGAGGCTGACATACGCAAATGACAAACTAAGTCATCTACTAGATGTTATCCATGTAAAACTGTACAGTTTTTTTTTGATAAGTTTGCCCATTTACTTAATGGTCAAGCCTCCTTCAAAACAGGTCTGACACAACTGCTTGAAAATTTTCAGCCTTGCAATTTTCATGATGACCTCAAAAATATCATTAACAAATGCATCAGACTGACAATCTTCTAGTATATTAAACATAAAAATTCTTTGAAAAGACGTCTTGAAACATCTGATGGTCATTCAAGGAAAATGAAAAAGTTGAATGCCACCAGGTAAATCATTTTCAAATATTTGCTGCTGGTTCTTTAATTATTTCATGTACCTCCATCACAAACCCGGCTGTGACATACCTGACCAGGACATTTTTACCATATTGTGATAGAATTGTATTTTATTTTATTTTTTGGAATTTTATGTTATTAAATTACTATACTATATGGCCTGTACCATATACAGGGTGGGGCAAAAGTCGCGAAGGGATTTGAAAAATTAATAACTTTTTTAAATTTTAATTTTAATTTTTTTCCCTAACACAAAACTAAAATGCAATGTTTGGAGTTTGTTTACAATTTAAGTGTGAAAGATTACATCACGCAAATGACCGCCATTTTCAGCCTCGCAAAGTGCAGCTCTTGCAAGAGCATTTTCCATTATCCGAGTCAGAATATCTGGCCCCAAAGCACTTACTTCTGCTCGAATATTATCTTTTAGTTGCTGCAGGGTTGTGGGTTTATTAATATACACTTTTCCTTTCAGATATCCCCAAAGGAAATAATCAGGGGCTGTTAAGTCCGGCGAGCGGGCGGGCCAATTGAATCCTGAATTTCTCGAAATTAAACGTTCGCCAAAAATCTGCCTTAGAAGGTGCATAGTGGCTCGAGCAGTATGCGCAGTGGCTCCATCTTGTTGGAAAGTCATCGTTTGATTGTCAGCAAGAGCTGGTCTTAAGAAATTTTGAATCATATCACGATATCGGTCGCCATCTACAGATACAGCATTCCCATCGTGGTCTTCGAAGAAGAATGGTCCAATAATTCGTTGAGACGTAACTGCGCACCATACTGTACATTTAAGCGGATGTAATTGCCTTTGATGAACCACCCTTGGGTTCTCGGTACCCCATATTCTGCAGTTCTGCTTATTTACGAAGCCATTCAAATGAAAATGGGCTTCATCGCTCATGATCAGAGAAGAGAATGAATAAATTCATTATCTTCTCGAGCCATTCTTTGCAAGCGAACTGCATAAGTTAGTCGTTCTTGAAAATCTGCTGGTTTTAGTTCTTGCACTAGCTGCACTTTATATGGAAACAGATGTAAATTTCCTCTTAATATTCTGCGTAAAGACCTTTGAGACATCTGCAGCTCAGCAGAACGTCTTCGGGTTGAGGTTTCCGGATTCTCCTGAACACTCTCCTGAACGCGTTGAATGTTCCCTTCATTTCTTGCGGAACGTGGCCTTCCGCTTCGTGGGAGATCCATAACTGTGCCTTGTTGCTGAAATCGTGCCACTAAGCGTCGAATCATTGATTCAGAGGGCGAATTCCGCAAATTGAAATGACGACGATATGCTCGTTGAGTTTGAATTATTGAATGGTGATATTCAAAATAAAATTCTATAAGTTTGGTTCGTTGATTGAGGTTGTAACGCTCCATAATTAATCTCCAGGATTTATTTTACACGGTCCTGAAAAAAAAAATGAAAACAAAATAAATTTAAAAAAGTTATTAATTTTTCAAATCCCTTCGTGACTTTTGCCCCACCCTGTACATACCGGCTTTACTCATGTAAAATAAATGTGAAATTTTGCAAATTAATGTTTATTCAGAAGTATAATGTTATGTTTCATTAACGAAATCTTGTACCCTTTACATACAAATTTCACAATATTTTTGTTATTGAATTTTTGTTGCGTGTGGTATCATGGGTTTTTTGTAGTTTCCTATGATCGTATATTCGAATTATTATTCAGAAACCTCCCATGGGGCTTTCTGATTCATCATTGCACTATATTGCAAATGCACCACATTACGTAATCTACCAGAATAAAGTTATTTTCCTAATTATATTGTTTTACTTATCACTCTTGAACGAACCCAATCACAAATGCACGTGAGGTGTTTGAATTGTTTTTCCTAATGCAAAATTAATTTTTGTTATTAGGAAAACCATTCAAAACAACCAAATAAAGATGACAATGAGTGACAGATGTGGTGAGAAAGTAGGCAACCATGAGCGCACCGCCGTATGTCATTGTAAGAAACATGGAGGCATATATGTCATTCGTCGAATTGTTTTGAATAGACAGGCGTTCTTTCTGTGTCATATTTGTTCTTTCACCACGACAACATGGCGACATTCGTGTTGCTGGTTGAATTACACTGAGTTAGCATTCTTTCAGTGTATATTTTGTGGTTGTAGGAAGCTAGGAAGTCTTTCATTCAATCAAGAACCCACATTTGACTGTTACAGGCGGCACTAGGCCTTCATTTTGTTCTTAAACAAACAAAACATGGATTTCAAAGTAGTAGGCTGCGCAAGACGTCATACTGTTTCGTTTTTGATGAGAAGTAAGGTACAGTGGGGTTTGAAATCACGTGCCCTGCTTAATCAACTGTTATTTTATTGATTCGTCAATTTATTTGGCGTGGCATTTTTTCACCATAAAACCGTCAGTAATATGTCAGACACCATTTGCTAACGACTTCCGCATCCTCATCGTGTAAGTGCGATTTTTAGTGTCAAATTACCATATCTTATATTAAAATGAGTTTTTTGTGCTGCATACAAGCTGTCCGTTGCTTGTAGCAGCTATGTGTTGTTTGAAGTCAGTTATTTTTAACACAGACTATACTATCCTAAAATGGCATTGTATAAGTAATATTACTCTACGGCCTGCATTTTTCAGACAACTTACATCAGTGCAGTCTATGAAGATAAGGATGGTTGTTTTTTTTTTCAACTATAGGAAAATCTCGAGTGGGAAATGAACGAAACAATGGCTGGCAGATACTTGGCTTAGCACATGAGCACAGACCGATAAAAGAAGGTGACTCATGATCATGATTCCAATAAAATGATTTTTATTATCCAAAATGACTAAGTGGGTGACCTGTATTCCGCGTATTATAGTGCGGTAAAACATGTCACTGGTAACGCAATAAATTACGCATATCTTTATTCCAAATTACGTAATATTGCCAGAACGCCTTGTTGACCGAAAAGCCGAAGGAACTCATGCTAGATTTTCTTTTTTGAGAAAACTTGCAAGAACACCGGTTAGGGTAAATCATTAATTAGAGTAATCCACCTGTACAATCCTATTTTCCTTAGGTCTGTTGCTCTCAATAATTTTGAATCTTACCCTGCTTGCTGTCGCAGAAACGAAGCTGTGCTTCAAATGTTAATATCTGGTAAACCAATACAGACCAAAAACATGCTGAACTTATTATTCATTATTTCCAATTTAAAATTTCCGTACAGATTAACAAAACTTATTTGACTTTTTTCAGAAAATATTTCCGTCATTATAATAATAAAAACGGAAAAACTGCAAACACTATTGTGGTTTTTGAAATCTCCAAGGTTTTCAAATTTTTGTGGAAGGAAAAATCAAAACTCAAAAGCAAAAATTAAATTGGAAGATACATGCAAGAATAAAGGATTGCACAAATACATGACAAGCATAGATGGGGAATACTGTAACGGCGGCAAACGACGAATTCTGACTAGGTAGAAGGAACAAGTATATTAGTATTATTTTTTAAAAGTATTTGTGTTTGCAAATCACTGTGGTGCTAGATGGTTTCAGGACATGGTACTTCATGCATAATTTGCAAAGAGCAGCACAAACTTAATGATAGATCTTTCAACCACATATTATAATGAGTCAAAAGTATGCACTAAAACTACGTAAATTGCCATTACACTTTAAGATCTCTATGAAAATGCTACATGTAATGTTCTTAAAGAATGAAACACTCACCACTAACAGCTGCGTAATATTTTAGGACTGAGGTCTTTCTACTTTTTCTAGTTATCACAGATAAATTCGAAGGAACAATTCTCACAGAAACTCGTTTGTTCCGTCCTGATAAAGTATCATTTGTGGTAGTCCCAGCTTCAGAAGATGTTCCTACAAATGGATTATACCAATTTTTTAGCGATACCAGAAATATTTTTTCATGCTTCCTCTTCAGTGATGTCTCCTCCCCGAAAACGTGACAAGAAGGGAAATTTGAGTATTCGGGCAAAAGAAATTATGTTTAATTATATTATATTATTATGAAATGAAAATTCATGATACTGAACGAAGTGTGGCGAACATAACAGTCTTACGTCCTAAGTCAATTTTCACCTTTCTCAAAGAAAATAAAAAAACTAAAAATTGTCTCCACCACACAAGAGGCTGCATTAGCTGAAGCTATTGGATACAGTTGATAAATCTGATCGGAATACCATCAGACGCAGAGTCCATCAATTTTTTGAAAGGCAGGAACCATAGACAAAGTATTACAGGAGGTTAATAGAGATGTATAGTTTACTCAAAGAACTTTATTTTGAGTAAGTATAGAAAAGGGACAGAAGTATTTTGATGGACAGCCAAGAGATTATTTTATGGAGAAGAAATTGTTTAAAGTCAATAAAGAAATACCGCGACCATGGCAGGAAGATTTATTGCTTGGATGAAACCTGGGTAAATGCAGAATGCAGGACATACAAAGCCTAAAGTACGGGCTGACACTACAATTAAATCAGCGAGACAAGCCTTCTTAGATGGACTAACCACTGGCCTAAAGAAGCCGTCATTTGTGTTGTAATAATGGTGTCAAATAGACTGAATCTATGAGCCCATGGTGAAAACTTAGCTACACTAAGCTCAGCTATATCTGGTGCAATTGGAACCAACATCTGTTAGATACTCTGCTTGTATTATTTCTTGAAAACTATATGAAATAATTATTTCCAGGAAAAGCAAAACGATTTGCTATCTGTCACATTGGCAGATGGCTTTGTGCCTACTGCCCTATGGGCATTTGAGTCAAAGAAAACGACCGAATACCATGAAGAAATGGACAAGAGTTCATTTGAACGATGGTTAGAAGAAACGCTCCCAAAGCTTGACGACAATGCCGTCATTGTACTTGATAATGTGAAAATTCCCACAATGTCTACAAGAAAGGCAGAAATTCAACAAAGACATTAGTTTCAATAAAAATATAGTCAAAGCAGAGCTTATCCATCTAGTCAGACAGCACAAATATAAATAATGGGTGATTCAAATTGAGTTTCCTCATTACAAATAATTTTTTTGTGAAACGCCACTGAATTTGTCAACGACAACGTGCCATTTCTAACGTCTAAATATAAACAAAACAGTCATGAAGCAATATGCGACCAAACAACGTGTTAAAATTATCCAAGCCTATAATGAAAACGGCCGATCAAGGAAGAATACATTTCGTGCTTTACGAGAATTTTTTGGCGCACAAAATCGGCCTTGTGAGAGGACAGTTTGGAATTTGGTGCAAAAATTCGAGCAAACTGGATCCGTCGCTAACAAGAAAACCCCTAGGCGTGCTTTAGAGGTCGGTCGGAACAAAATATTGCTATTGTTGTCGAAAGTCTGGCCGAAAATCCAAGAACCTCGATTCGTCATCGATCGCAGCAACTGGACCTTACGTATTCCACTACACAGCGGATTTTAACAAAAGATTTGAAGTTACACTCATACAGAGTCCAAATAACACAGGAATTGAAGCCTACGTCACACATCAGGAGAAACGATACAATTACTGCGCGGCAAGTTTCCAGGTCGCGTTATTTCACGTAACGGCGATATCAATTGGCCGCCGCAACCCTGTGATTTAACTCCCTTAGATTATTTTCTTTGGGGGAATTTCAAGAGCAAAGTCTACAAGAATAACCCGAACACAATTGCGGAGCTGAAACAGGAGATCAGACGCGAAATTACCAACATAGGACCTGATTTGTGCCACGGAGTAGTCGAAAATTTCTCGAAACGGATCACGTCATGCCACATGAGCCGCGGCGGTCATTTACTTGATATCATCTTTCAAGCATAATTGTAATGAACTGCCCTGAAAGGACAAATACATACTTTTTATAATTGTCAATTTCTTCTTTTTTTTTAACTACTTTTAATGTGGAAACCCAATTTGAATTACCCTATATAATCTTATTGTTATTGACAAAATGGCTAAAAACTAAAATAAGACCGCTTATCACTGCGAATTAAATCCCATTAAAATAATTTGAACATTCAAATAGCCTGATGTGAAAAATTTGTTTTATGAAGCTGTCAACAGAGTGACGACAAGCCATTGGAAAGATTGCATCCATCACGTTCAAGAGACAATCGAAACAAAGATGTGGGATCTGGATAATATGATCGATATTCAAATTGAACCTGTAATAATTAATATTAACCATTCGGACGATGATTCAAGTAGTTCCGGGGATTAAGGAATTGTGAAAAGTATGTGCACTTCTTTTCATAAAAATACTCATTCATTTTGTTAGATTATTCCAAGACCATTGAGGAAAATACGGGACCTGTGCAGTCTCGCTTTTGGGCATGTTGTGTTCCGTCAGGGCGTAAATGGACTACGAATGGGGTATAGTTTGTAGGATTTTTCATGCGCTTTTAAATAATGAAATTTAATTGCATTTGAAGTTTTCGAAAAAATAGCATTTCCAACTTTGATGTTAGAGTTACACACCCCCTATCGGCTACTTTAGGAAGCTAAAAGTAATCTTCAGCAATTTTCCTTGGCTACTTTTGTTACACATTTTCTAACCGATAGCACTAGGTTTACTGGTCGCCCAGTACTGTACAAGAAGTGTTCTAGCGCTCATCCGGTTTCGATGGATGGCGAAGTGCTGATAAAGAGCCGTTTATTTTGGCTGGTCGTAGTCCAGATCACCCGTACGTCAACGGGCTCTCCTCCATGATGCCGTCGCGCGATGTGCCTGCCAGACAGATCCGCCTAACTTCAGACTCCCACCCTAACCATGTCGAATTTCGTACCAACAGAACCGGCCGATGCGACCGCTCCATTGTCGATAGCGTATTGAGAATGTAGAAAAACATCCCGGAGGAAGCTTTTCCCACTACTACTAACCTTCAGCAGCACAAAAATCGGATTACCAAAGTTCGTCATATCAGCCGCGGTTCCCTGGTATTTAGGCTTCTGCCTGCGCGGCTGCTTCCGTACAAAAATTTCAACCGGCGTCTTTTATTAATGGGCCACCCGGTACAAACTGGCGAATTATCATACCTCGAATACCAGTGAGGCCTGGGGCATATACAAGGTTTGTCCGGAAAATACGTATAAAGGTGAAATACAGTGGAATCCACTTATAATGAACTTGCTTGTAATGGAAACCCGTATATAATGGACGTAATATAAGGTCCTATAAATAATTGCATGTAAAATCCTCGGATATTATAGACTCGCTTAAAATAGACCCTCGCTTATAGCGGAATATTTTAATCCATTATATGCGAACTATTTTGGTAGTTCCCCCGAAGCAGATTTAGCTGATGCAATCGTTTACTGCGGTTTGGCTTCGCAGTTTGCATTCGAACTTCGCCACCAGTGTTATACTGTACATATAGTTATTAGAGTTATAAACATGTCGAAAAGTGCGAAACGTACATTCACTTTACACGAAAAGTTCACAATAATTAGTGACCTTGAGCAGGGTTCATCTCAAGCAAATATATGTACCCGTATGGCTATAAAAAAATCCACTGTGTCAAATATTTGGAAAAACCGTGACAAAATTAAAAATGACTGGAAATCAAATAGTCAAAAGAAAAATATGCGGCTATCGCTGCATCCCCAAGTCGATGATATGCTGTTTAAATGGTTTCAACAAAAGCGTACTAATAGTTTTCCAATAAGTAGACCTATGCTACAAATAAAGGCTGAAGAATTTGGGAAATTGATTGGAGATTACTTCAAATGTAGTTCCGGTTGACAGGTTTAAGAAAAGACATAAGCTTCAGTTGACAAGAACGTTACCAATGATTGGATTTCTCACGTTGGGCCCGTAATATCCAGTGTTTATTCAGATGATAACGTATTCAACGCAGATGAAACCGGGATATTTTATAGAATGCTATCAGATAAAACTCATAAATTAAAAGGTGAAACTTGCAATGGAGGGAAACTATCAAAAGAGCGAATAACTGTTATGATTTGTGCTAATGCTTCTGGTACTGAAAAACGGAAACTATTGATAATAGGCCGTGGGACTCTAAACTTGTTAAGAAAAATCGTGAAATTTTGCTCTTGGTCGAAAACTTCTCCGCTTATCCAAATATTTCACATAGTAACGTCAACATTCAATTTCTTCCACCCAATGTGACATCAGTTGCAACCAATGGACCAGGGTGTCATTTGGAGTCTTAAGCAAATGTATCGGAAACATATGTTGATGAAAGTTATGGAGCTTCAAGACGATGTCCACATTACCTAAGCTGTCACCATTTTAGATGCTGTAAATTTGCTTACTATTGCATTGGAATTGGTTACTCCAGAAACGATTCGTAATTGTTTTCGCCATCCTGGTTTAGTGAGAAACATAACTGAAATAGTCAACGATTTAATCCAGAATATGAAATTCTATTAAGTGATTTACTGAAAATTAATAGTGAATATAGACAAGTTTAATGAGTATGTAAATGTTGACAATAATTTAATAGGAACACAGGAATTGTCAGACTCCAATTTGGTTAATTCAACTTGGTGTTCTAAATAATTATACAAAAAAACAATCTGTTCAAATGAAAATTACTAGCTTTTTACCAATTAATTTACTGTTTTTACACATACCTACACAGTACGTATGCCTGTAATATGTGTATCAGATTCTGAAAAAATGCAAATTACAAAATTACGTAGAACTTTTTGGTATGTATCTTTATACATATTAAACAAACACATTTTAAGCTTTTATCATGTTATTTCTGCTGCTTTTTCATTAAAAAAAAAGTGTTTATTTTAAGATGGTCATCCGCATATAATAGATTATTTGTCACAGTCCCGCTGAGTCCATTATAAGCAGGTTGCATTGTAATAACTTTATTTTACAATTGTTTCCACA